CTCAATTTTACTACATGCTTGACCTGAAACGTTCTAATTATATTTCAATATTGTGCTGGAATATTAGTTTTAATTAATTATTATCACTTCTATCTATTTATTCTCCAAAGTTACTTGTATGTCAATTTTGTAATTCTTACGAAGCAAAATTAATATACGATAATTATTGGCTAAAATAATAGAGTAAGAGTAATTCTTTTTAAGCTATCATTCCAAGTCTGTAATCTTGCTTACTTCCATTCTAATTCTCACGGAGGAGTTGTAGTTGGCAAGATTATTGATTTTTAGTAAAAATTAATCGCAAGAGGTTTTTGCTATCTTTTAGCACAATTCAGGCAAGAAAATTCTTTTAGTTTAATCGTCACGAGTCATATATCAATTGATTTACATAACCTCGCGGAGTGTTATTAATTGATTATTTCTTAGTGAGCAAAATATAATTGTATTAGCAATAAATAGTTATTCCTAAGAGAAATACATGTAGAAGATAAGATTTTATTATTATCACGCTATCGAGTGAATTCAATGATTCCCAACTCTTTTTAAATATAAATCTTCCGAAAGTTATTTTGTTTCAACTTAAGCAATTTAAATTTTCAACAAACAAACTTCATCAATCTGATTCTCTTAAATAGTAGTAAGAATATTATAAGTTTGTAGCTAGATTCTCCAATCTATGTGGGACAATATCATAAACTATACTAGAATTTGACAAAGTACGAGTAGCAAAATCTTATACGCATTGGCCTCGTCACCTCACCGAGGGCCTTTTCAAACTGAATGTAATGGTTGTTGAAAATAATAATAAAATTTCAGCTTCGTCTTACTTACTTGAGTCAAATGAATTATGGAATATACGTTTGAGTCATGTCAATTATAAAACCTTGCGAAAAATGATTAATTTGGAAGTATTGCCTAAGTTTGAATGTGACAAATCGAAATGTCAAGTATGTGTGGAATCTAAGTATGTTAAAATATCCTTATAAGTAAGTTGAAAGGAATTCAAATCCTTTAGACTTAATTCACACAGATATTTGTGACATGAAGTCAATACCATCTCGTGGTGGAAAGAAGTATTTCATACCTTTTATTGATGATAGTACTCGATATTGCTATGTTTACTTACTTAATAGTAAAGATGAAGCAATAGACGCATTCAAGCAATACAAAAATGAAGTTGAAACATAATTTAACAAGAAAATCAAAATTATAAGAAGTGATAGGGGTGGTGAATATGAATCTCCTTTTGAACAAATATGTTTAGAATATGGAATTATCCATCAAACAATGGCCCCTTACACGCCCAATCCAATGGGATTGTAGAAAGAAAGAATCGTTCATTAAAGGAGATGATGAGCGCATTATTGATAAGTTCTGATTTGCCACATAACTTGTGGGGAGAAGCCGTTCTTACGGCTAGCCGAATACTAAATCGAGTACCCCATAGCAAAACACAATCCATTCCTTATGAAAAATGAAAAGGAAGGAAGCCCAACTTGAATTATTTTAAAGTGTGTGGGTATTTGGCAAAAGTGCAAGTTCTTAAGCACAAAAGAGTAAAAATATGACCGAAACTGTTGATTGTGTTTTCATAGGATATGCGACTAATAGTAAAACATATCGATTTCTGGTTCATAAATCAGAAAATTCCGACGTTCATAATAATACGGGTTATAGAATCAGATAATGCTGAGTTATTTGAAAATATATATCCGTATAAAAAGGAATGTGAGTCGATTGATGAAGGATCTAAACGACATCGGGAAGAAATAAAAGAAAGTACACTTAATCAAGAGGATCCAAGACGTAGTAAACGTCAAAGAACATCTACTTCATTTGGACCAGATTTTGTGACTTTTAATTGGAAAATGAGCCTCGAACATTTAAAGAAGCTATGTCTTCTTCGGAATCATTATTTTGGAAAGAGGCAATCAATAGTGAAATAGAATCCATACTGAACAACGATACATGAGAATTGGTTGATCTTCCTCCTAGAAATAAGCAGTTGAGTTCTAAATGGATATTTAAGAGGAAAATGAAAGATGATGACACTATTGACAAATTTAAGGCAAGACTTGTGGTCAAAAGGTATAGACAACGAGAAGGTCTTGACTATTTTGATACATACTCTTCAGTTACAAGAATTACGTCCATACGAACGTTAGTAGCGTTAGCCGCAGTTTATAGTCTTGAAATTTATCAAATGGATGTTAAGACAACCTTATTAAATGGAGAGCTGGAGGAAGAAATTTACATGGAACAACCTGAAGGGTTTGTGGTTCCAGGTAAAGAAAAGAAGGTATGTAGACTTGTTAAGTCCCTTTACGGACTAAAACAGGCACCCAAACAATGGCATGCGAAATTTGACCAAACAATGTTGTCAAATAGTTTTAAAATAAATGAATGTGATAAATGTGTGTACATTAAAAAATATTCCAAATCACATAGTCATTATTTGCTTATATGTGGATGATATGCTGATAATGAGCTATGACATTGCCAATATAAATGCGACTAAGCGCATGCCAACTGACAACTTTTATATGAAAGACTTGGGATTTGTTGATTTAATTCCTGGGAATTAAGATCCATAAGACTTCTCAAGCTCTAGCGTTCTCACAATCTCATTATATTAAGACAGTACTTGAAAAATTCAAGCACTTGGGTTTTAAAGTTGCAAAGACTTCAATTGACGTGAATCTTTCATTAGCAAAGAACAAAGGCCAAAGCATATCACAATTGGATTATGCTCGTGTGTTGGGTTGCTTAATGTACATCATGAATTGTACACGACCAGATATAGCTTGTGCTATAAGTAAATTGAGTCGATATACGAGCAATCCAGGTCAATCTCATTGGATGTCCATGAAACGAGTTTTGGGGTATTTAGTACATACCTAGGACTTTGCTTTGCACTACAGTAAATATCATGCGGTCATTGAGGGATACTGTGATGCAAATTGGATCAACGGATCAACTGATTCCAAGTCCACAAGTGGATATGTATTCACTATTGGTGGATGAGCGGTATCTTAGAAGTCGTCCAAACAAACTTGTATTGCCCGCTCTACAATGGAGGCTGAATTCATAGCCATAGATAAAGCCAGTGAAGAAGCTGAATGACTCGAAATTTCTTAGAAGACATTTCATTTTGGCTCAAACCGTTGGCACCAATATGCATACATTGTGATAGTCAAGCGGCAATTGGAAGGGCTGGGAGCATTATATATAATGGTAAATCTCGTCATATATGACGAAGACATAAAACCGTTAGGCAATTACTCTCTAGAGGAATTATCACGATTGATTATGTAAAGTCAAGTGATAATGTGTTGGATCCATTTACAAAAGGCCTAACTAGAGAGGTAGTTGAGAAATCATCAAGGAGAATGAGACTATGGCCGAGAACAAGTCATAGTGGCGGTAACTCTACCTAGAAGACTGGAGATCCCAAGATCTAGGTTCAAGGAGATCAAACAAAGTCATTAATAACGGTTCAATATTGTCAACTAAAATTTTGGTCCATTCTCGTGATGAGACAATGTTCAGTACCAAGGATAAAACATTAAGGCTTTTTAATGATTTCTAAATTTGATATGGGGTATATCAAATAGTGTATCTACGGGATGACACATTTAAGAATCACCTATGTAAGTGTGAAGTGTCAGGCGCTTCAAGGAGAATTTTGCAAGGCCAGTTCTCTATGCACTTATGAAACCAGGCGGTGTTCATGGCTGAAACGAACACAACAATGAGAACTAAAGACGGTTAAGGGTTGGTTGTGTGACTTGTGGTTGTCTAGGTATACACCAAAGTTCGACGGTTTAAAGATATCAAATTTACCGATTGATCAAGTATATCCGACATAAGTTCATTACGAAAAGTTCAAAGGGAAACCTACTTATCCAGATGCAATTAATCCTTGCTTGCAAATTACATAATTTTTCATGCATATTTCCGTGATATAGCCATTCCCCATTCATGTGGGGGATTGTTGGGTTTTTAAGCATTAATGAGGCTTAAAAGAGGGTGAATGAGAAATGGAGGGAAATGAAAATTTTTAAGTGAAATTTTAAGTTTCCTCTTCCTTGGCAAATGGACATTGTCCCATATTAGAAGAGGAATAGGTTTTTATGGGTATATAAGCAATTTCTCTTCTTTTAGATCTTAAAGAGTTGAGAAGAAGGCAAGCCTCGCGTCGTCGTCGCTCGCTCGCTCACTCGCTCGGCTCAGCTTTGGCTTCGGTTTCAGATTTGAATTTGGTCAAATGATCGATCGATTGATTAATTTTTTGGACCAAATTTATTTGTTAATAGTAAAATATTAATAGAAATGTTATTAAATATTTATTTTAATAACAGAATATTAATATTAAATTCAATCCGTTTTTCTGTTTTGGTAACAGAAAATTAACTACCCTCTTCAATTTTCCCTCTTTATTGTTGAGTAAATAGTCATTTATGTTATGACATTTATGTTGTGGCCGTTTTGCATAAACAACCATTCTGAAGAGTTGCACCTCTTCAGATTTCATCCCAACTTTGGCTATAAATACAAGGTTATTCTGCTCAGAATTTCCATACGATTTTCTGAGTTTCTCCTCCTTCTTCTGCATAGTTTAAACATCAAACAAAGCAACAGTAAGTATGATTTGCTACAGAACTTTGTGTTCATTGAAACACTGGGGTTTGAAGTACCACTACACCAATGTGTAATTCGTTCTATCCTGGGAGAAAATAATCCATAGCATTGGGTACTAGGAGGGGATTAAATTCCTTAAGGAAACACTATGAATTCAGTGGACTCAAATTGGTTTTTTGTTATTTCGTTTATGTTTCTGTTTATGTTCATTTATATTTTCCAGAATTATTTTACAAATACAGTTTACTAACCATATGTTCACTTTATTACAATACATGTGTTATATTCCTATATAATTAATTTTTTAATCATACAGCCCTTAATAATCTGAGATAAACTTGTGCAGAAATCGTAATCACTGGATTTGAAGAATGATAACTTTGATATTAACAAATTTTCATTTGTTTTACATGTACCTACCATAAGCCTTCAACATAGTCCTCTGGCTATGCTTGTCAAGGCTCACTTGAGCTATAGCCCATCAAATTTGACTTGCATTTTCTATAATTCACCCCACCTCCCCTCAGCCCCCACCCCCCAAAAAAACAAATTGACCTACACCAAAGAATAAAGTTGAAAGAACTAAGAGGAGGCCTTGGATCACAATCAGTTAAATCCAATTGCCATGATTATACAATTAGTAGGGGAGATATTCGCGCCGGATTAGTAAGGTTTCTGCATGTATACGAACATGTCTTGGAAAGAATTGAACTGATCAATGTTGCAATTTTGCTGCTGCATTTGGGGCTCAAAAGGGTCATATTGGAAGCTGTCCAAATAATTTAGCTGGAAATCAAGGGCATTGTCGAGGTCGTCCCATTTGGGAGCACTTTGGACCTCCTTATTACACGACGACAAAACATGCTCTGACCCAGAGCTCGAGTTTGTTGTATGCATCCTAGTCATCGACTCGGACGTTTCAAAGTGAAAGTAGCCCGGCATCGATTGTGGCCGCGGTGGCATCGGCGCTGGTGCTAATTGTGCTATCAACTCATTACTTTGTGAAAATGGTAAAATTTTTGGTTTTTCCTCTTCTTCCTCAACTTCATCGAAGCCCAAATGTTCCTTGTTATCCACATTGTAATACTTCTCAAGTGTGCCCTTCTTGTTGTATATTCGACACAATACCCAATCGTCAAGCTGCAAAAAGTTCACTAAATAAGTACAAATAACAAAATTTCGATTATAATAATAAAATTTGGATTCAGGTTTAAATCCAGAATCTGAGAGCGCTTACCCTCAAGTTATTATTGCTCTTGCCAGCAGACCGGTCCACATTAGCGAGTCGATATTCGTGCATTATCCAATTGGTTTTGATTCCTCTGGGTGCTTTTCCAGCGTAAAACACTAACGCCTTCTTTATCCCTAAAGTCTTGGGCTTTCCCACTGGCTTATCAGCTCCGGTGGCCTTCCAGTAACCGGCTCCGGCCGCTCTGTTTGGCCGTGAGCCGTTCGGATATTTTCTATCTCTTGGTGAGAAAAAATACCATTCCTTTTCACCGTGCAAAGCCTTCTCTGCATTTATCAAACACAAATTATTTAGGATAGAAAAATTAATCTAAATAGCCGGACAGCTGCTAAAATTTAAAATAGCTAACAGATATAATAAAAACATTGTTTAGCTTTTATAATAAATGAATGTTATATAAAGATAGTTGTTATAGAGAGATTTAATTGTATAAAATATTATATAATCTATATAATATGTATATAATCATGAAAAATTAATATAAATTTATGCATACCCGCTCGAAAAAGTAAATAGAGAATTTACCAGCTATTTGTGTAAAGAACTCCATTGGCAGTCAAAAAAATTATTATTACTAATATAATTCGGTAAAAGAAATGAATTTTCCTTTAAAATAATTAAAATACCAGAACAAATTTTGAAAGAAAACGATTTTATTCACAAATAACAACCACTAGAAATTCTTACAGAAGGTCACTCAACTTACTAGTATATAATCATCCTACTAACCCAAAACCCAAATCGGAAGATTGAAAAACTCAACCCTGTTAAAAGCTCTAAAAATTATAGTTAAAACCTAAAATAAGTCAATTAATCTGTTCTATTTTTTTTAACCTAGAATTTGAAAGCATGAAAAAAAAAATGAGAGGACAAAATTACCAGGTAATTGCCAAGGATCAAACTTGTAAAGATCAATTTCAGCTATAATTGAAACAGATATAGGCTGCCCAGCGCATTTACGGCAGAGATAATGTTGAACTAATTCCTCATCCGTTGGATGGAATCTAAATCCCGCTGGTAATTCCAATTGCTGCTGATTTCTGTGTACGCCTTTGATCATTTCCTTCAAAATTTCACTCTTCTAATTTCCTTTTTCTTTATCCTTTCCCTTCGATCTCCTTTTCTCTTAATTTTCTGCTTCTCTGCTGTATATGGCTTTGTTTGTTTTAGTTGTTTTGATTTGACCGCAGAGTATTTGGGGGTGAGAGTGTATATATATATAGATAAAAAAGAGGGGACCAAATTGCACGTGGTGGATTGAAACTGGTCGTATGTGTAATAATAATAATAATAATAAAACTAAAACGTGCTGTAGAGCGGGACATATTCATGTCGACAGATATTTTTTATTTGTTTCTTATTTTATAAGTAAAAAAAAATATTTGAAAATATCTTAGCCTTTTCATAAGTTATTTTTGTTACTTATTTGAGAATGTTCGTTAAAATTAAAGAAATAAGTCTGTGTGTAAGTTATATTTTATTCTGCAGTAATTCTTATAATGTACTAATAAGGTATTTAGACCCTTATTTAGATGTAATCTTTTTTCTTTTACCTAGTGAACTCAAATTTTATTCAGTCAGTAAATTTTGAACATAAGATGGTAAAAAAGAACTATTTTAAGTTTGAACATGAAAATACTTTGACGTTTTATATTCAAATTTCTTGGTTAATTATGTGACAAAAAATCGAATACTAACCTTTCACTGTATCCAAGGGCGAATGCAGAATAATAGGAACATGTTCAATTGAACTTATAATTTTCGACGTGAATTATAAATTTGTATGTAAAAATTTATTGAAATGCAAAAATTGGTATATATGAACGTGGGTTGAATATTATAAAACTTAAAGGCTGAATTCATTGAATTTAAATCCCGAATCCGCCTCAGTTGTTACTTATCTACATAAATTATTACTCCCTCCGGTCCACAATAATCGACCAATTTACTTTGGGCACACTCATTAAGGAAATACTAAATTCTAGACAAAAATAGTTAGTGTGACTAGATTACTCTTAATTAAATGTTGCAGTATTGTTATAGTAGCACTTACTTCTCTTCTCAAATGTGTTGAGTAAATGACTTTTTAGGGATACGTACATAAAGGTAATTTTAAAAAAATAAAATAAATTTTTTATTGATTATAAAAATGGACATTTATTTTAGACTAAAATAAAAAATAAATTAATCACTTATTACGGAGCGGAAGAATTAAGTCATAAGGATTGTTTGGGTGCGGGGTTCAGAAAGTTGCTTGGTGAGCAAGAGTCGTCTAGTGGGGTGTGAGGTTATAGGCTGACCGCAGCCATAGACCAGAAGAAAGAATACTGTCCAATGAGAAGATTTAACGTGGAGTGTTGTCCCCCACGTGACACTATGTTTTTGTCACTGCTCTCGTCACCCTCTATGAACGGATTCTCCTCTTTTTCAAGTATTTATTTATGGCGTCTTCGTATATTTGTATTAAATCAATAAATAAATATCATATGTTTGAACATGCAGTTTTATTACTTAATCATCATTAATTAGTACGCATTATTTCATTTTATTAAATCACTTAATTTATAGTAAGTTAATACGATTTACTTTAAATATCTAGTATGAATAAGTATTTATCATGTTCGGATGTGTTTTGGATCCAGTTAAAAGGAGTATTTTTTCAAAATATTTTATAGGCTCGAACTTGAATTCTTTAATTAAAGAATGAAGGGATTCTACCCACAAGCAGCGGAGAACCACATTTAACAAAGTGGTGTAAGTTATTGATAGTCCTTCGCCGAAAAATTATATTATATTGCTAGATAAATTCTTATGTTTTGCGTATATTTACTATATGTTGACTCCCCTTAACTTTTTGATGTTTGTAACTTTTTATATTTTGACACTCTTTGATATTTTGACACTCTTTGATAAGTGATAAGAAAGTGTCATCGTTACTAAAAGGTAAGTTTTATAGAGCAGTGGTTAGGCCTGCCATGTTGTATGGGACTGAGTGTTGGCCGGTTAAGAACTCACACATCCAGAAGATGAAAGTAGCAGAGATGAGGATGTTGAGGTGGATGTGCGAGCATACAAAGATGGATAAGATTAGGAATGAAGAAATTCGAGAGAAGGTGGGCGTGGCCCCCATGGAGGACAAAATGCGGGAAGCAACACTCCGATGGTTCGAGCACATTCACAGGAGGAGCACTGATGCACAGGTGAGGAGGTGTGAGCAACTGGCTGTGGTGGGTACGAGGAGAGGTAGAGGGCGACCTAAGAAGAATTGGGAAGAGGTGATCAGGCAGGACATGGCGCGACTTAGAATTGCTGAGGACATGGCCCTTGACAGGGAATTGTGGAGGCCAAGCATTAAGGTTATAGGCTAGGGGGAAGTTGTGAATATTTCTACAGCGCACTAGAGTGAGATTAGCCAGTTAGGAGTTAGTTTTAGGATTCTAGTGGTCATCTACTGATGCAGGGCTTTAGCTGCTGGTTATTATTATACCTTCCATCTAATTCGTATTTCTTATATTGCTGTTATTTTATTATGATTCTATTGATGGTACTAATATATCGTCTCTTGTTGCTTTCTTGAGCCGAGGGTCTCCTGGAAACAACTTCTCTGCCCCTCGGAGTAGGGGTAAGGTCTGTGTATATATTACCCTCCCCAGACCCCACTTGTGAGATTATACTGGGCCGTTATTGTTGTTGTTGACACTCTTTGATAAAAAATTTGGCTCGGCTACTGTCCATAAGGATTGATGGAGCTTTGCAGTATCAATTCATCTGAACCAAATACTTTTGATGTAAAAATACAAAGTTATATATAAAAATTTAACAAAAACTACAACAAATCATAAATATAAAAATCTACAGTAAATTATAAATATAAATCTATAAATTTAAAACTATAATACGTTTAAGACTTATAACCTTAAAAATTGAACGGTAAATTTTGAATTCTAAATCCAATCACTTTTCATCATCTCATGGGATTCAATAGTCGGCTGTTAAAAGGTGTTAAAGAGAAAGAAAAAGGTCGGCTGTTACAACAAAAGTAATACAATAATAGTGCAATAAAGAAAAAAGAAGGATTCAACGGCAGCTGGAGTAACGACAAACAAGACCCACTCGTGTGCTGCGCCCACCACCAATACAGTCAAAAGGATATTCTTAGGATAATAATTAATTAACTTGCTTGTTCATGGCTCAAAATCTTAACTATGTTCTTTTTACTCAAAACTTTTACTTATTTCTACTAATAATTCATGTCAGACGCACATTTAGGATTTAAATTATAATATTCAATCTTGAACATTTTTAGTATTGAACTATTATACTTTAAAATTTATGGGCTCATATCTACTATTTATTATAATTTTAATTTAATTTCCTTCGAAGTTATGAGTTTAATTAAACCGGTACCATTGTATTGGATCCGTCCTTGTTCCGTGCGTCCGAGTTCTTCTTATTTTCTTACTCTAATGCATGTACTATCTCTTTAATATGCCATGACTTCTTACGATTCGAGTCACATATAATCATCTATTATAATCTTTACCTCCAATTTATGTGTTTAGTCAGTAAATACAGAGTTTAAAAAAGAATTTTTTTTTGAAATATATAGTCGAACCTATGCTGATATTTTTGTATATATAAATTATATCATTAAGAATAAATTATAAAAATAAACAGATTAATTGAAGAGAAAATGTGCCACATGAAATGAAGCAAAAATTATAATGGCAATTGTTATATACTAGCTCTTAGCCACTTACCAAATGTGAATACAAGTCAATACCTCCAAAGCACAAATATTGACATCTCTAGATAAAACTAAAGTCAGTCACCAAATATACCCTACCCATAAAAAAGCAAATTCAACAACCAGTAAAATAAAATGAATTTGGTCATTATATTTGAAAAAGGACAAACAAGACCACTCGTGCGCTGCCAACCTCAATACAGTCAAAGGATATTAGAAGAATAATGCTCCCTCCCTTTCAATTTATGTGAACCTATTTGATTGGGCATAGAGTTTAAAAAAAAGTTTTTTGAAATTTGTGGTCCTAAATAAGTCAAAAAAAAGCCCGAAATATTTGTGTGGTTATAAAAGCTTCTTACTAAAGTAGAATTATAAATTTGAACTAAATTATTACCAAATTTAGAAATGGGTCATTCTTTTTGGAACTGACCAAAAAGGATATTAGGAGTATTATTTTTTATTAAGAGGTCGTTTGGTTTAAAGATAAGTTATACAAAAATTAATTATGTTAGAATTAATTATATTGGAATTAATTATGTTGAGATTAGTAAATATTAGGAGTACTATTTTTTATTGATTATTCGGTATGTTGTATTAATTTTGAAACCGTCAATTTTACCGCTTTATCGTAGGATAACTTATCTTGGGATTACTATTACACCATCTGACAAGTATAGTTATCCTGATAATATTTTTTAATCCTAAGATAGTTTATCCCGGAATTAGTAATAACCAAATCAAGAGATAAGGCGACACTAAATTTTTAATCCAGAATTATTTTTTACCTATCCATCATATTTAAAGACCCTTAAGTGTGATCTGTTTTTATTTTTGTTCATTTTTTACTTTCTCCGTATTCTTTTTTTTGGTAATTACAAAATATTATTTACCAATTGCAAAATATGTACAAGTTATAGCCAACTAAACTTGGATATAGTCCCAAGTAGTAGAAGATATTCAAACTACAACTCCTTATCAACTATACACCCAAGACATTATGGATAAAAAATTGAAATTCTTAGCCCAAGAATAGTTAATTTTGGCTTCAAACTTCCTCTAAAAACTGCTTCTTGTTATGAAACAAAGACTATAAAGTAAAGACAAGTATAGAGAGAAACTGATATATTATTCGAATTCAAACTGATGTACATAATGAACTGAAATCTCTTCTATTTATAGAAGAAAGAAAGCTGCTCTGTAAGTTGCTACTACAAGCTGCTGTGTAAGCTGCTACTACAAGCTGCAGTGTAAGCTACTATAAGCTGCTGTGTAAGCTGCTACTACAAGCTGTTGTGTAAGCTGTTGTTGTACCAGATATGGATAATCTTCTACTGAGAGCAATATTTATCCATAACGGAGTACTGAATGGATAAGCTTATTATATCCGGTATGGATAATCTTCTACCGGGGGTAATGTTTATCCATAACTGGGTACTG